TGGCAATGCCGTCATTGTAGAATGAGTTTAGAAGTATACCCTCCTCCTTAGTTTTTTGGAAGAGTTTGAGGAGAGTTGTTGCTAAACCTTTTTTTAAAAAAAAACTTTTGGTAGGCTTCACCAGTGAAGCCATCTGGTCCTGAGCTTTTCTGTGTTAGCAGGTTTTTGATTGCTGATTCAATCTCTTCACTCATTATTGGTGTGTTCAGATTTTCTCTTTTTTCCTGATTCAGTCTTGATAGGCTGTGTGTTTCTAGATGTACTGGTTTCTTCTAGGTTATGTACTTTGTTGGCAAGTGATTTTTCTTAGTAGTCTCTCATGATCCTATGTATTTCTGTAGTAGCATTTGTAATGTCTCCTCTTTCATTTCTATTTTTGTTTGTTTCCTCTCTTTTTCTCAGTCAGTCTAGCTAAACTTTTGTCAATTTTATTTATCTTTTTGAGGGACCAACTCTTAGTTTTGTTGTTCTGTACTACTGTTTTTCTGTTCTCTATTTCATTTATTTCCGTTCTGATCTTTATTATTTGTTTTCTTCCTTTTCTTAACTTTTGGCTTAAGTTGTTCTTTTTCTAGTCCTTTGTGGTGTAAAGTTTTCTTGAGCTCTTTCTAATTTCTTAATATATGTGTTTATGTTATAAAGTTTCTTCTAGAACTGCTTTTGCTGCATCATGTAATATATAATACATTTCCATTTTCTCTTGTTTTTAAATTTTTCTTTTTTATTCACCTTTTTATTTTTTTGTCCTATTGGATATTCAGAATATCATTAAGATTCCACTAAGCATTGAAAGTTCCATGGAAACAAAAAGTTTAGTAATATTTTTAATTGCTAGCTGTGCCATGTCATTGTTTGGTATGGAAAGGAGGAAGCTAAAATAATTCCTATGGGCACAGATGCAATACTGTTGCTACAGAGTGGCCTAGAGAGGAAGAACAGGGAAAAGGTGACAAGGATCTCAAAAGGCCCCTAAGGCGTTAGGTCAGGGAAAATTTGTATTATGAAATCAGAAATTCTTGGCTGAGCTATTCATTTTAATAAGTAGTCTGCTCTCATTAATTTTTACTTTTCAGGCTATGCCACTCTTACAAAAGAGATTATTGTTTTGTTTAGAAACATGGCATGAAACAAGATATAGTCTGAGCATTTACAAACCTAAATTACCCTCAGCTTAAACTATTTTTTCTTACCAGAGTACATTTGTACATTAAAAGGATTAAAAAATCTCCCCTATGGTCAAACTGTGTTTAGTGGAAACATGAGACTCATTATCAAACAGCAGCTTATATAGGTGACGGATAATTGAAGAATGGGGGAGATGTCTAAGGGAGATGTTAGAACAGGCCTGAGACATATTTCAATTATTGTAGAAGGCAAAAAAGGTGGGATCAATCTTCTGTAATGTCTACTTAAAAAGAAAAAAAGGAAACAGGAGTGGAAGAACATCATAGACAATCCGGACATTTTGCAAAATGAATTTAAATACTCTCTAAGTTTATAAGGCTCTTTGAACCTCCCATAGCCATAGCCAATTTTACATAGGATGGTTCAAATAAAAACCTCAAGAAGGAACACTAATCTTCTGAGATGGGTATAAACAATTTTACTAATAATCCTTCATGCCCAAGGAAGATGTTGTGGTAGCTTTCAAATATATATTCTTGTCTGTTATGTAGTTTCCAAAATTAACACGTTAAGCACCAAGCCTGTTTTGTCTTCCTTTCTGCGATATCCGATTTCACCGATATGCTTTCTCTTCAGTCAGTTGTCTGTGGTTCGTGTTCCAGTGCAGTTTTTAAAATTTTTCATTACCCGTAACAGTGACAACGTCAGTAGAAGAAAACATGTGAAAGCGATTCAAGTGAAGTTAGTTTTCCTAATAGAAGAATATAATTTTTTAAATTGTATATTGTCAGTCACCAGTGACTGACACGGTCCCAAAGGAAAGTATAGTGTCGGTCACTGGAGACTGACATGGCGCTTAACGTGTTAAGTAAATATAACTACTGGCTACATGCTGTTCTCTTTAATATCTCTGCCAGTTTTGTGTCCTTTGCTTTTTCTGGAGCAATCAGATAATGAACTCTTATCTAATATTTTTATCCAAACTGAGCTACCTGCTGACTCCCTAGAATACTGCTCATTGGTCCAGACAAGCTCTGCAGGGGCTATTTATTTCTCAGCAACACATCATTCCCTGCCATTCAATTATATCAGAAGTGGATTCTGCTCCATCAGTTGATCTTAAATAGTAAGTAGCAGAAGGGTTGGCTTGGCTGGATCCTCCTTCAAGTCTCACTCTCCCTGTCTTCAGCATACAATGTATGTTTTCTCCTCAATTTTCTGTTTTGCCCCCTTTTCTTTTGGACTTCAATGCAAGAATAAGAGGGAAAGACATAACGTTCTTTCTCTTTTATACAACCACTTTCTCATATATAATGTTAAGCAAACAATATATGGCTGGCCAATGCTGAGATCCATGAATTCAGCTCACACTCCACTCTTTTCCCCTTGTTTCTGTGACAAGATAGCTCTTATATTTCTCTGTCTCCTGAGACTGTACGAAATAGACCAAAGATACTAAATAGCAAAAAAATGGAGTGATTTCAGAATTTTTTTGTGGGCTGCCTGACACTTTTTCCTCTTTTCTCAGTATCAAGAATTTCTGGAATTATTGCTTTTTGTGTGTGGGGGTGGGTAGCATTGTCTGGTGATTGTAGTGGAATCACCAGAAACCCAGGTGATTCTAATGCAAGTGATTTCCTACTCAGCAAAATTCTAACCTCTGATTTCCTCTATTGGTCAGGTGAGTTAGATTGTTTGCAAAGGAATTACTAAATGTTTCTTGACATGCAATTTAGACAAAGCCATGTTTGCAACTTTTAACAAATTCATTTTCTTGGTGTACACAGAAATTTTTAAAAAGTATATAACTGGGGCCAGCCGAGTGGCACGATGGTTAACTGGCTTGGGACGCCAGAGGGCCCCGGTTCGGATCCCACATACGAGGGCCAGTGACGCTGCCCTCCACAGCTAAGATGCTAAACAACAGCTCAACCTGGAGCTGGGCTGCTGTGAGTCGCCGGCCACGGCGTGGGCTGCAGCCCCTGTGGCAGTGGGTTGCCATGGGCTACCATGTGTAGCCAGCAGCCAG